ATGCGACTTATCGAGTTTTGTCCAACACACATCAAATTCCTCACCACCACTTCCACGTGTCTCAACCTCCACTTTTCTCCTCCGTCTCTCCACCGTCGCCGGCGTCAGATTCTATAAATTCCTCGCCGGAGAGATATTCTCACATCTGTAGATAACACAAACACACTATCTCTGTTTTGCTCGATCCATCGTAAAAATCTCTTTTTTTTTTTGTTTTTACTTCGTCGGCGTAAATTCGCCGTTTACAATGAAAGTCTCCGACTTTGGATTAGACGTAGTGAAAACACCGAGATTGGTGAAACTAATCGCTTTTGCGTTTCTCTCAATCTCAACGGTTTTCTTATTCAATCACTTCTTCTCAGATTCATTCTCTTACCCATCTCTTCGTTTTCCGATCTCTTCCTCTTCAGACACCACCGAAGCTATTCAGACCAATATAACAACCTCCGTTGCGGCGGTTTCTCCATCTCCTCCGCCGCGTCCCCGTCTCAAGATTTCACCACCACCGCTTCCACCGACGGTTGTTCGGACTGGAATCATCGACGAGAATGGTGCTATGTCTGATTCGTTCGACGTCGGAGGATTCGATCCTGATTCCGTCGATGAGCTTAAATCAGCTACCGGAAACTTGTCGGTAGAGGAAAAAGAAGATGATGGGTTTCGGATTGAGAAACTCAATCTGTGTGATAAGAGGAAAGCAGATTACATTCCTTGTTTAGACAACGAGGAAGAGATCAAGAGATTGAACAGTAGTGTTCGAGGAGAAAATTACGAGAGACATTGTCTTAAACAGACTCTTGATTGCTTGATTCCACCACCAGATGGTTACAAGAAACCAATCCCATGGCCACAGAGCAGAGACAAGGTGAAATCTTGTTATCTAAGTAGCTGAATTTGTTTGTGATTTAAGTGTCAAAGTTACTAACTTTATTGAGTGATGCAGATATGGTTCAATAATGTGCCTCACACACGTTTAGTTGAAGATAAAGGAGGTCAGAATTGGATAAGAGTAGAGAAAGATAAGTTTGTTTTTCCAGGAGGTGGAACTCAGTTCATACATGGAGCTGATCAGTATTTAGATCAGATCTCTCAGGTTTGTTTTTGAACTTTTCTAGTCTCCCGCTGTTTTTTTCGGGTGTTTTCGTTATTGGCTCATGTTGATCTTATATTCTCTTAGATTGAATTTTGCAGATGATTCCTGGGATTACATTTGGAACACGCACTCGTGTTGCTTTAGACATTGGATGTGGCGTTGCGAGCTTTGGTGCCTTTTTGATGCAACGTAACACGACAACTTTGTCTATAGCACCGAATGATGTCCATGAGAATCAGATACAGTTTGCATTGGAGCGTGGTGTGCCTGCAATGGTTGCTGTATTTGCTACACGGAGGTTGTTGTATCCAAGCCAGTCTTTTGAGATGATTCATTGTTCCAGATGCAGAATTAATTGGACTCGCGATGGTTGATTTCTCGTCTTTCATTACTGGCATTTTTGATTAATGTGCAATAGTGTGACTAAAGCTTTTGATTTGCATGAATTACGCAGATGGGATACTTCTTCTTGAAGCAAATAGAATGCTCAGAGCAGGAGGGTACTTTGTTTGGGCTGCACAACCGGTTTACAAACACGAGGATAAATTGCAAGAGGAATGGAAAGGTCTGTATATTATTCGACAAAAGCATACGTCTGTTATGGAGTTTTAACTAAGAAACGGGTGTTTTTTCTGCTCTTCGGTTTATCTTCTTTCAGAAATGGTAGACCTTACGAACCGAATCTGTTGGGAGCTTATCAAGAAAGAGGGATATATTGCTGTGTGGAGGAAGCCTCTGAACAACAGCTGCTATGTTAGCCGTGAAGCTGGAGCAAAGCCTCCTTTGTGTAGACCTGATGATGATCCCGATGATGTTTGGTACTACATATACGTACCTCAAAGCCTCATTTCTAATAGTAGCGTTGGGCCTTCTTGCATAGATATTCTATGAGAAGAATCACCCGCTTTTCGATTAATATGTTTGAAAAATCTGAACTTTGTGGTTATGGCTTCTTGTTTCAGGTATGTGGATATGAAACCATGCATCACCCGATTACCTGATAATGGCTACGGGGCTAATGTCTCCACATGGCCTGCTCGACTTCATGATCCGCCAGAGAGGCTACAGAGCATTCAAATGGATGCATATATATCCCGAAAGGAAATTATGAAGGCAGAGTCAAGATTTTGGTTCGAAGTAGTAGAGAGTTATGTGCGGGTTTTTCGCTGGAAGGAGTTCAAGCTAAGGAATGTTCTGGACATGAGAGCTGGTTTTGGAGGGTAACCATCAATCACACCTTTTTCTGTTTCTATCATACGGAAGTTTGTTTGAACTAGTATTTATTGATTTTGGTAGGTTTGCAGCAGCATTAAACGATCTCGGGCTCGACTGTTGGGTTATGAACATTGTTCCTGTAAGCGGATTCAACACTTTACCAGTTATCTATGACCGCGGGCTTGTAGGAGCTATGCATGACTGGTACAGACCGACATATAACCATCTGTTCTCTTACTTCTAATCCCACATAACTTACACATGATCACATCTTAGAGATTTTTGCATTTTCTTTCTCTAGGTGTGAGCCATTTGACACCTACCCAAGAACCTATGACTTGTTACATGCTGCATTTCTCTTCTCTGTTGAGAAGAAGAGGTAAATCAAACTTTGCTTGTCAAATATGAAGGTCAGAAACTTGATTTGAGGTAATCAATTCGGTTTCATGTGGCGCTTGTAGGTGCAACATAACAAACATTATGCTGGAGATGGACCGAATGTTGAGACCGGGAGGACGGGTTTACATAAGGGATTCACTCTCTTTAATGGACAAACTTCAACAAATAGCTAAAGCCATCGGTTGGACATCTGCGGTTCACGACACCGGGGAAGGACCTCACGCAAGCGTTAGGATTCTCATCTGCGATAAACGGATTTGAGAAAAGAAAAATGATCAAGAAACCGTAATTCAGATGATAAGTTTGCTCAAAGCGACATTAGTAGTATTACTGACTGATGATGATTTGTAATGTTGTTTATTTGTTTGTTGATTTGATTGTTGTAGAATGAAAGAGTGTTCTTGAGAGCCATTATAACAATTTGAAAACCAAATTTATTTTCCACAGATAATGAAACAGAGCGAAATCTAGGAAGGCCCCTTTCAGTTATAACCGTTGGATTGCTAAGTTGAGAGATCTGACGGTAGAGATGAGTAACTAACAATTAACTGTACTGTGGATTCCGTTACAGTGCGAGTCTCCGTCACGGTTTTGTTACTTCCACGTGTCAGTTTCACTTCACTTATTACCGGTTTCAACCGGTGTCAGATCCATTGAACCGGTTAGTAATTTGGGACGCGGAAGTTTTAAAAAAATGATTCAAAGATAAGAAGTAAGCCGGGATTTGCAGAGCCACCGGCGAGTCTCGAGTCTCCGGGACCGATAAATCGACCCTACTCGCGACTTTCTAGGGTTTCGCTATTCGTCGTTTCGACGCGCAGATTTCTTCACTCTGGTACGATTTCTTTCCTCTTTTCTTGTCGTTTTATTGCTCGCTTTTCGCTATAGAGCAATTTGGGTTTCGCTTCGTTTCGTCTCGTAGTGTTTAGAGAAAGCTTCGTTGAATGGTTCTTCTGTGTCTGGATTTTTGGTGTTTTTCTGGGGAATTTGTTGGCAGTGAACAATTTCATTGCTTTTTTGTTGTTGGAAATGAGGAATGGTTTCTTTTGGATGTTTAAATCGAAGGCATTTTTGATATTTATGAACGAAATTGATAAAGATTGTATACTTTTACGAAATGAGGATAATCTTCTGTGGTGGCTATGTAAGGATTTAAATGTTGGTTTTTTTTTGTCTTCTGTATAGTTGGATGGAAGGGTGAAGAAACCCTAGCTGCAGAGTGGGAGGATTAGAACATTTGTTTCAAGATGCTTGTGGAGGAGACGACAAGGAATGGTGAAGGTACAGAGAGTAATCAGCCAAACGACTTAACGAATATTGAAACGCTGAATAGTTGGGGTGGAGGAGGTGGTGCTATTGCTAATTCTGCCAATGCAAGTTCGAGAGATGACAAGAACATACAAACATACAAGCGGAGAAAACTTGGGAGATCGATTTCTGGGAATAAGTGTTCGGAAAATGAGAGGATTTCCATGGAAGGTGTTAGCAATTCAGGAAGCCGGGTATTTTCCATGGCTTCTGTATTATGATACCTCTGATTGTGAATGATAACTACGGGAGTATATGAAGTTGCCAACACTTAGCAACTCTCGCACACCTCATTTGTTATGTGTTTTGTAAATATGGTTTAATATTTCGACTGTATTATGATATAGGCGCCTGGCAAAGGAACACATATTAGGATGTATATTAATGTAGTGATGGTTGGTAGGTGCTTCAGTACTGAGTAGTGGCATCAATTATGCAACTTGTTGTTGAGAGGGAGCTAAACATAAGGGTCATTCCTGTTTATCTTTGTGTGGCCATTTAAGTAATAAGTTAACGATTATCTGACTATTCCTTCCTGTTTTCCAGACTACATTAGTGTCTAGTGTGTGATAGCTAGGTTTCAGGAAATGCTTTGCAAATTGTAGAAAATTCCATTAATTCTGTCTGTTAACACTTAGCTTATTGAAAACCTGAGAAGTGTTTGCTGCAATGTGCATTCAATCCTGAAGTTGGTCTCTTGTTATATTTTGTGCGATCAACTCCTGTGGCCATTATTTATTTTAGCAATGATGCTTCCAAAACATGTTAGGTCTCTCTTGTTTTGGATTAACGTTTTTTTAAATTTCTCTTTCACAGGAGTCTGTCGCTTGTGAGTTGGATGATCAAAGGTTCAGCATTGGAACTCTATGCGCTAGTAAACTCCCTGAGCTTTNCAATCCAAATAAACCATCAAGTGAATCCAAGTATGAGACTGCGACAGCCGGTTGCCAGCATGTTCTGTCTCGTGTTTTTGCTTCAAAGGAGTTTGCATCCCTAAGTAAGTTGCTTTCCGAAAATCTTCAAGGGGTCAAGATTGATGACCTTATGTGCAGAACCCTGATAGACACCAGGATGAAAGAGGGTGTTTATGAAAGTTCACCTGTGCTCTTTTCAACGGACCTCCAAGAGGTAGTTAATGAAAACTCTGCGTAGTCTGAAGATAACTATGCATGATTACAGATTATCATCTCTTTCTTATCCTTCTCTTTGTGAAAAATATTTTCTGATGTCATGGTTTGGAAGCTGAACTCAAACTCTCAATTTGAAGGAATATGGTTGTTTTTTCCCTGAAGATACTATGTGTTAGTTTGAAAGTAGACAAAGAACTAAGCCTAACTACTGCTTTCAGGTCTGGCAAAAAATACAGGATGTCGGTAATGATATGGCTGTTCTAGCTAATAGTCTCTTAGAGCTGTCGAGGACCTCCTATACTGAACAGGTGAGGGTCAGGCATAAATGATCTTCTTCAAGTTGCTATCTTATTATAGAAATTTATCCTAAGTCCCCTAATATCTCTTTCTTTTTGCAAAATCTGAAAGTTGAAACAGTTCTACACTGGGGAATCGAAGCCTTGTCTCAATGGAGAGATCATCAGAAATGGTGTTTATGACATTTGCAAGCTATGTGGAGAGAAGGCAGCGGCGGGAGATTGTTTAGCATGTGATCATTGTGATGATATGTACCATGTCTCATGTGCGCATCCTGGTGGGGTAGAGATGTCGACGAACAGTTGGTATTGTCTAGACTGCACATCTAAGGGAATCGGATCACTTCACGATTTTTGTGGTGTGTGTGAAAGAATGAAAACCCAGAGGATGATGGAGACAGATGACGGATGTGTTGATATGAGTACAGAATGTAAAGAAGATTCGAACGAATCTGAAGAGAACTCAAGCTGTAACATGAATCACGAGGCTCAACACGTAGAGATGAAGAGAGATTCTGAACTCTGTAGGACCTGTGGAACAAAGGTGGACAATGGTGGACGGTTCATAACATGTGATCACCCGTTTTGCCCACACAAGTATTACCACATCAGGTGTTTGACTTCAAGGCAAATAAAACTACACGGTGTTCGTTGGTATTGCTCGTCGTGCTTATGCAGGAAGTGTCTAACTGACAAGGATGATGATAAGATTGTCTTGTGTGATGGGTGTGATGATGCGTATCACATCTATTGCATGAGACCTCCATGTTCATCGGTTCCAACTGGAGAATGGTTTTGCACAACATGTAAAGCTGCAATTCATAAAGTCCGCAAAGTGCGAAAGGCTTTTGAGAAGAAGATGGAGACGTTGCAGAAACCAAAAGGAAGAAAAGCAGGGAATCTCGAGAGCAGACCGAGAAGTAAAGACATTGGAGAATTGGATAAAGGCGTAGGAGGAGTGGACATGCTTCTAAACGCAGCCGATACTTTGAAAGATCAAGAACAGATGACATTACAATCCATCAAATGAAGGATTGGAAAGAAAAACCAGACAGAGAATATAGCTTCTTGTCTCAAAAGTTTTTTTGTTTTCATTTGTTCATCTTCCTAACTTCAAGACTTACAATTTGATTCTTTCTTCACATTTTGTGTTTGTTTGGAAATTTGCAGAGTTTGCTAACCTTCGATTCTGAAGATAACCCTTCTAAAATTGAATTCTTTTAATCAACAGTGCCTTATGATCTGGCCCATTTTGCTCTCTGGTCATGTTTATAATAAACTGATCCTTGACCAAAGAGATGTTGATACTTCACCAGATTTTAAAAATTGAATCCTACTTACAATATCTTATTGGTAGTTGAAAACTCTAACGTACATGTACCTTTTGAATCAGTTTATGTCTTTGATGCATAATTATGCCATCTCATATACATACACCCATAAATTGTAAAGTCAAGAGTTCAATATTTTAAAGGGAGGTTTACTAAAACAACCTTGAAAAATGGTTTTTTGACCAAAAGTATGCTAATCTTTTATAATTACTCAAACAACTTTCAAAGATTTAGTATATCCGTTTTATCCTCTTTTTTTTTTTAAGACAAAAAACGTATTTACGAAACTGCCATTAATAAGGCAGCAACATTTTTTCGCCAAAAACGAATAAGTCTACCGTTCATGTGATAGTAGATTTATTTGCGATTGGTAGATTTATTAAGTGGTTGGTAGACTTATTGATGGTT